GGGGGGGGGGGGGACACGCGTCTAACTAAAACCAACTGGTGGCATTCAGTCAAAAAGGCAGGCAACGCTCGGGCAGTGGTGAGTTGTCCAAGTCAGCTGGGTGCTCCAAAGCTTTCCAGAGCCAGGCTGTTTCGTGCTTCTTTGCTTTTTCCTTTAAACCTAGCCCACTGTCGCAGGGATACAATAGGAGGGGAATTTTTCGATGCTGGAAATCGGCAGGTAGGAAAGGAAACATGATCCGTCCCAAAAGGCTGCAATTAAAGTCTTAACCGCGACCCATCTGTTGCGGGACGCCCCCTCCACCTACCCCTGAGCACAGCGGCCGCGCGCTCTTTGTCTGAGGGGGGAGAAGAGAAGACAGGCTCTGCGGCCCCAAGAGCGAACGGAAAGAACGTTTCCAGCCTGGGCGCACCCTGGGCGACTGCGCCCGGCCCCGGGCCGCTCCGAAGTGCTGCCGAGGTGCGGCGCCTCTTTCCGGACTAGGCCCTCGTGCTCTGTGCTCGCCTCTTTCTGCACTTCTCCACCGCTGCTTCCGTCCAACTAGCCCGAAGCCACCCCGAGACCAGACGTGAGGCACTTCTGGGCCTAGCCGCTAAGGCCCCTCGCACCCCCCAACTGGCCCTTTGGCTGCCTTCAGCTTGCAATAAGACTCAAGTTTCTCCCCTCTTTTCCTCGGCAACTGGGTTTCCCCACCACCCACCCAGCTGCTCGGCCTCGGCCTTGGGCATCAGGCGCAGTCCCAGCTAGGCTCTTTCCTCCGTGTCCACCCCTCTAGGCTCTCCGGACAGGGGCGAGGCCGGTCCTCACGAAGAGCCAGGGTGAGTGGCCCCAGGCAAGTGCTGGGTAATGAGGTAGGGAAGAGGTAATATTTTGAGGTCAGTTTCCTCAAACTTCGCATTTTTGGGTGGAACTGGTCAGGAGCTCAACAATCCCAGGTTCTAGTGGGCTTGCATCCAGCCTCCCACTGCAGAGCCTTTCAAGAGACGCCCGCACCCGCTAGGCGGGGTGCCTGGCGCCCGACGCCACCGGTCCTACGCGCACCCACTCGGGGGTAACTCACCCGGTAGATATCACCCTGGGCGGCTGCGGACCGCCACTAAGAGGTGCGTGCAGAGCGCGAGGCCCGAGCTGGCATCTCTGCACTCCTCCCCGCCTCCGGGCGCAGGCTCGCCGCCACTGAGTTCTCCCGGTGCAGCCCCCGGGCACGCCCGGCCCTGGCCCCCGGTCCTCAGGGCCCAACACCGCACAACCTCCCGCTTGCAAAGGGGGCGGGACGGGGAGGGCGCTGGCCGCAGCTCCGGGCGCGCTCCGGGCCACGCTCGCCTAAGGCTGCAAGAGCCCGCGCAGCTAGAGTCGCCGCCCCTGGAGTCTTCCAGAAACAGACCTTACACTCTGTCGCTCCTCCCTAGAAGCTTTGGCCGGGGCGCCACACTCAGAGGCCGCCAGGACGCGGGGCGTCGCAGGAGCAAGGTCTCCGCAGGCTCTGGGAGGCTGGAGAGAGGTTGCTGCCGGGACTCTCCCGCGAGCAGGTGGCGGTGCTCGCCGCCGCGCGGTGCACGCACACCCTCGCCGCCGCCTGCGCTGCTTCGAGGAGTGCAGGCACAAGCCACTGGGAGGCTGGGAGAGGAAACCAGTAAGTTGTTTCCCTTCTCCGCTCAACATTCAGAATTTAAAATGTTCCAAGAGAGCTCTAGTGAGCTCAGGTACTTAGAAAAATACTCTCCGGGCTCTCAATGGAAGCGCATGAAAGCGCACGCGTGTGTGTGTGTGTGTGTGTGTGTGTGTGTGTGTAGCGGGGGTGGGGTCGGGCCCTCATCGAGGTTTCTTTTGGCGTGACACTTGCTCGTCCCTTGCAACTCCTCAACTTTGTGGATGGAGCGCATGTCACCGCATCGCATTTACAAAACCACAAACACATAGCAAGCCTCCCAAGGCCTTCAATTCTCAAGGGCGATTTGGGAGGCTAGTTACCTGCTGGCGTCTTCCAGGTGGTCCGGACTCCGTTCGGAAGCACCCAGCCTGGGCCCTAGAGCAAGAAAGAGCGGCTGCGGAGGAGGCGGCGCGGCCGACTCGGGGCGCGCTCCGGCCCCGCGGACGCGCGGGGAGAGCTGGGGTTTCCGTTGCCGGAGGCTTCCTGGCCGCGGCTTTCTGGAGCTTGGAGTTTGATAAATATAGCCTGGCGTTTGCCCCTGAATTAGACTCCGTTTCCTTATTTAGCCCTTGCACAATGATTTTAGATGATGTCACTTAGAGTTAAACGAGAAAATTGATCTCAGATTTGCTTGGCTTCTAAAGCTTGGTTAAGCAGATTGAGAATTAAAAAGACAGATAAAAAGCAAAAGG